AGGTTTTGTTCATTTGTTCCGGGGATTGGTAGGCATTATGAAAAGTAAGGGGAGATGACTCCATTGTTGCCTTGAACAGAGCAAAGTAGAATTTAGTTCTGTGGCAGTGGCCTCACCTACTCATCAAAATTCCTTCAATGTCTGACTTCCTCTCTGGTTGCTGACCTTTCTGTACCTTAGACCCAGCTATCTTTTCTTGATCTGCAGTAAATGTGTTAACAGCTTCTGCTGAGACACATCCCAATGCTAGTTAATGTTAGCCTTTTCCAAGAGTTCTTGCTGTCCAATTTGCCCCCACATGGCTTCTGCTGCACACTCTGTTGTGTAGGAGTCATTTGAAGGAGCATTCTGCTCTGTTTTGGATCATTGGTTTTCAGTCAGTATCTTGCTTATTCTAGCATGTGGTAGTGTGAGCCAATAGAAGAAGCAAGACAGCTTTTTTTTTCACAGCCAGAGCAGTAACATTCTCCATTCTTGCACACACATCAGTTGAGGAAATCTACCAGAAACGTCTTGCCTTTATTGACCTGTGCCGGTGGTAGCAGGAAACGCATTTGCTTGGCCACATGAGCTTGAGCTTAGGACATGCACTCATCCTCTCCGTAAATTTGGCATTGATATCTGCAAATATAGGTCATTTTGCAATTATTGACCCTAATGGAAGGAAGTAGAGTCTTGGCTGAGACCTGTATATTATCCAGCAACTGTTTACATTTAATATTATTGCGTAATTGTGTACCTTCCTTCACCTGCAGGCATTAAGCCACATTACCTTTCTTCTTCCTGTGTCACCCTCTGCTAGTAATCTGGACTCCTGGTGTGGCGCTGTGGGCTGATGCACTGGGCTGCAAAGCCGATTTGAACCACAAGGTCAACAGTACAAGCTCACTAGCTGCTTCTCGGAAACCCTATGTATAGGGTCTCTATGGGTTGGAACCGACTCAATGGCACTTAACCACAACAAATCTGGATGAGAATCTTGGAGACAACACTTTTTAGATGACAATAGTCAATGTTATTTAGATGATTATTCTTACTTAGTTAATATTTGTTTCTCTGAACCCCTGTGAAAAATAACTAAATACTACATATTTGAAGACTAAAAGAATTTTCATCAGAGAGATGAATTAAGCCCCAGACTTAAGCAAACTCATGAGGAATAGATTTTTTTTTTTTGGTTTTTGGACTCATGTTTATAGACTTCTTCAGCAATAGCATCTGCTTTATGGAGAAGAGATGTGATGCTCATCAGCTGGTTGTGAGCATTCACATCCATCCCCAGAAAAGTGATGGGTTATATGGATGGTTGGTACATTAGTTAAGACTCTTTGGTTGCAAGTAAAGGAATATAAGGGCAATTTGGCAATCCCAGAGTTGAAATGCCTCTGGGTTTATGGAAGTGACTAGAAGCCAGAGTTCAGAGGCAGAAAACCCCAGGTGCCAGGAGAAGACTTTGTCTCCATCTCCCTTTTTTCTATGTGTCTGCTTGTTTTTTTCCTTTTTCTCTCAGCATACTAATTACCTTTATGTCTCAGATACATCCTTATATAGTGATAGACTCTGGCTACTGATTAGCTCCCAAATCTATATATTATCATTCTCACCACACGAAAGACACTGTACTATCTCCTGTCCCGTGCCAAATTTCTGGAGAGAAGTACTATCTCCTGTCCCGTGCCAAATTTCTGGAGAGAAGTATCTGGATTTCAGTCAGATTTCCACCCTGACATCAGTGACCTACTGTGAGAGGGTCACCTCATAGAAACACGGCTGCTGGGAGCCTACCCTTCTGGAGTAAGGGACAGTGAAACAGATGGCCTGGGACTTCTTGTTATACAGGCTTACACCTATCCCGAGTTCCCAGCCCAGGAAAATCAGATTAGACTTACACGAAATTATATGCTTTTAAAAATTTATTTATTTTTAGCACATGCCAATTAGTTTGACTATTTTATGATATTATACTCTTGTTACTAATCCAGATAAGAGCTCACAGCTCGTTTCTCAAGAACAGGCCTTAGAAGATCATCCGGTGTTCAAAGAGTTGGTTGTCTGAGCCATCCAAAAGTAGGTGTGTAAGCCCTTCATCAAGAAGTTCAGGGAAAAACTTTCACAACTAATCATTTTTTTTTTTAAACTTATTGTGAATTGAATTAAGGTTTACAGACAAGATCCTGAGCTGTACATCCAGCAAATTATATGCTTTGTTTCATCTCAAATGATTACAACTATTCTTCAGTGACCAATTCAAGTATTCTCTTTTAAAGACATCACAAACCCAAAAGAGTAAAGCTGCATAATTTTAAGAGTTCAGAATTGAGTTGTTGACCTAATACAGACCTGCTCCAACCGAACCAAATAGAACTTTTCTATTCCTTAGCAATTCATGGAAATAACCTATTACTTAACTGTTTGATGATGCAGTTTCCCAGGGCATTAGGAATAAACAAGTCTAAAATTGTAGCTACTTAATGTCAAATAAATAAATGTCTCTTCCTTTTTGGAAAAAAATTCTTTAGTTTTTCCTCCAGTGCACACTGCAGTGTAGTGCTGTTGTATCCATATTCAAGATGAAAAAGGGACCGTAAATCTTTTCTGAAACAAGGTAGGCCATCCATAGGAACTGAGCCAGGAGCAGAAGTCTTTTTCATTCCTTGTCTGGTGTTCTTTCTGTGCAGCCCTTAGAAGAAAATCACGTTAGAAATGGCTGTGCCCTGACCTAGACAAGATCTTCCTAATCTCTTTGTTGGCCACCATCTCCATGGCTGGCCCACTCTGTACACATTCTTTTACTTCTCTGCAATCTGACTCTTGGCTCTTTTGTCTCTAATTCCTCTTAGATTGCCTTCAATATATCTATGTGAGAGGAGAGAAAAGTTCACATTTATTGTTTCAATAGAAAAATATTAAGTGCTTGCTCTGGACCAAAACTCCCATTGTCTTTCAATTCCACTTTCCCATGAACTTTTTGAAGCCCCTTTGTATTCTAGCCACAGCATCCATCACTACTGTTGGGTTCAGATTGACATCACTTGAACATTCTAGTTGGTCACTTGCAAATTACCACAAAAAAAGAGCCCTGCCCGTACTGCTAGTCATTTCCATACTGCCTGTTAGATCACCATTATACAAAGTTAGCTATGCTTAGTGTCATGACCCTAATCAGACCATTTTGATGATAGCAATGTATGTGTAGTAGTGATAGCTATTTGAGGACTTCAGAAAATTCTATTATCTTTTCATTTCAGTTTCTCATAAACTTTTTGAAGCACCTTGCAAATATTGAGCTGGTTATGAGCCAGATATCTTAGATACTTTATTCATCATCTTACTTAAACCTCACAACAATTTTAATATAAATCCCTTTTTACAGATATGTAAACTGAGGTTGACATATGTCATTTACTATATACCTGGTACTGTGTTAGGTGCTGATGCAATCATGCTTAATCATTAAAGTAACACTATATGATATTCTGGTAGCGTAGTGGTTACGAATCGGGCTGCGAACCTTAAGGTCAGCAGTTCGAAACTACCAGCTGCTC